GAGCTCGTATCTCAAAACAAAGACATCTGATTTCGCTGTTCTCTCTAAGAATCTTCTAGTGATTAATGAATTGGCTTTTAGGATTATCCGGTGCAGTCATAAAGATGTTTCATGATGTATATTATCTTAATTTTGACGTCACAATATTTTATGATGTATGTTATCTTAATTTTGACGTCACAATATTTTATGATGTATATAATCTTAATTTTGATGTCACAATATTTTATAATGTATCTTATCTTAATTTTGACGTCACAATATTTTATGATGTATATTATCTTAATTTTGACGTCACAATATTTTATAATGTATATTTTCTCAATTTTTGACGTCACAATATTTTATAATGTATGTAATCTTAATTTTAATGTCACAATATTTTATAATGTATGTAATCTTAATTTTGACGTCACAATATTTTGTGATGTACATTATCTTAATTTTGACGTCACAATATCTTATAATGTATATTTTCTCAATTTTTGAGGTCACAATATTTTATAATGTATGTTATCTTAATTTTGACGTCACAATGTTTTATAATGTATGTTATCTTAATTTTGACGTCACAATATTTTATGTTGTATGTTATCTTAATTTTGACGTCACAATATTTTATAATGTATCTTATCTTAATTTTGACGTCACAATACATATGTGAGCAGTTCAGCGGATACGACTTATAAAAAACTCTAATAAAATAAGATATTTTCTCATCATTATTGAAGCTAATGTTAATTGCAGTTAATATTAATTAATCTGTTTATCAACCGTGAATTCTTCTCCGTTTTCGGCTTAATGTATTGACTTTCTTTTTTGCCCTTACTCACATTTCATTTTTATTTTTACTTTCCCTTTCTTTCTGTAGTTTATTTATTTGTTTGAATCTCGTGTCTCTGTCTTTTAATTTGAATGTTGGGCTCATCTTTTTGCTGATAACCATTCATTCTGTTGTTTTTTTTTGTAGTTTATACTTAGTCCTTTTATCTCGCTTTTCTTTGCTACTTTCTGTAGTTTGATTGCCGTGTCTGTTATCAACACTGGTTTGGTTTGTTTTCAGTTGTTCTCGAGGTTTGTATTGTGGGAAAATTAATAAATAAATAAAAATAAATTAATCTGAAGGTGTCGGATTACCGTATATAAACGATTATCATGCGACTTTTAAGGTCCTCATTTTGAAGCTAGTTTTAAGGGGTCCCCATCATGCCCGAGATATAAAATTAGTGTATATAGCCCCCAAGAATATTTTGTGCCCTTTCTTATGCTCATACAAAACCAAACAGTTAATCTCTACCTTGAGTGGCTCCCTGGTCTTGTACTGGGTGAACATTAGTAAATAAAAAAAATAAATGAATCTGAATGTGTGGAATTACCGTATATACACGCGTATCAGGCAACTTTTGAGGTCCTCATTTTGAAGCTAATTTTAACATTGTCAAATCTATCCTGAGCATGTAGGTCTGGCAGGTAGGTAACGGTCACCGAAAATGCATGAATTTTAAGACCTCCAGAAAAAGATTACCTGCGTATAGTGTAATTGCTCACCGAAAAGGCATGATTTTTAACCTCTTGGAAAAAAAGTTACATGTGTATAGGGAGACCCCTATTTTTGTGTAAAAAAAAAATGATTATAAAAAACCTCGCATTTGACTCAGTCAATTATGTGCCATGAATTGATACACGCTTAGGCGATCATGTACCTTCCGCTACATGACTGACGAGGCAGATTTTTTTTCCCGCAGAAGGTTGCCATTTCTTTCTGCGTTAGACCATCCAAGTCTATAGAACACGTAGTTTACCCATAGCTTTGAAGAAGAGGATTCATACCTTTCCCAAGGGACGTAAGTGAATGCCATCGGTTTCACTGGAATTCGAACTCGGCTCTCCGATTTCAGTCAGTTATGTTTTATATAAAAATGTATTGCTGATATCTTCACCATGAAAATGGCGTTCTGCTGTTCATATAGCAAGAAAAAGAACTTAGGCCACGGGAGGCAGGCTAAAGGAAATTACCTTTACTGTTAAGGTTAGTTAAAGCTACCCTGAGCATGTAGGCCTGGCAGGTAGGTGACGGTCACCGAAAATGCATGAACTTTAAAACCTCCAGAAAAAGATTACCTGCGTATAGTGTAACCGCTCACCGAAAAGTCATGATTTTTAACCGCTTGGAAAAATATTACCTGTGTATATTGGAACTCACTATTTTTACGTAAAAAAAAAAAAAAGGATCATAAAAAACTCGCATTTGACTCGATTCGAGTATATACAATCCTTAAAAACAGAAATCCTTAAATACAGAGTGCCTATTAAAAAAGCGGCAAATTTATTATCACTTTTTTAGCTTTCAGGAATAATTGACCTTGAATAAGCTTGAATAAAATTCTTGAATAGTCATGACCTTGAATAACACTATTTCCTCATGGTTATTACGCGTGCAACTTTGTGTTGAACATTCAAGCAAACATTTCAAACATCAACGATGATTTTTCAGATTTGTGCATGAATCATGATAGCTAAATAAATTTGTCTGAATTTCCCGCTTTTTTTACTGGTCACCATGTAGATACCACTTTACAACTCATTCAATTCAGCCATACGATTTAATTTCATGATCTTAAACTATCCATGATCTAATTAACTTGGAAATGGAATTAGCATACTTCCAAAACATTAGTCTGGAAGAGGAACTTTATCGACCTTAATCTGAAGTTGCAAGAAAAAAGAAAGTAAGATCATTAGGCTATATAACAAGAAAATGAATCCTTAGAAAGCCGAGCTGAGAACCTCATTCTTGTAGAAGAGCAGTTCTTACTTAACTCTTTTGCATCAGAGAAAAAAGCAATGTTGATCATTTTAAGTTCTTCCTACTCATGTAAAACCTTGGTTTCCTCCATAATCTACAAGGTTATTGAAAAGTAATCCCCTTTTTTAATGTATAAGTGGCCAGTGAGGAGTCCTGATTTAACACCCTGTGATTATTTTTTTTATTTCGGGGTTGGTTAAAGGAGCAAGTCTACTATATCAAAGCAAGACTTTGAAAGAACTTGAAGGACGAATACAAGAAGTTGTCTTCTATACTACAAGAGTTCCTGATGAAATCACTTGACACGATTCCTGAGCGGTCCGAGTAGCTGGAGAAAAATCTGGTGCCCCATATTAAATTTTAAATAAAACCTCATGCTTTCCTCTCTCATATCCATTTCTTGTAAAAATTATAGTTAATAAATAAATTATAATTATTTTAAAATGGTGAGTTAGTATTCGATCCCCCTATATATAAAACCAACCGCCAGGAATAACTTTGGTATCGATAGTCGGCATACATTCAGCTGAAGACAACAAATTATGAACCTCGTATTAAAACATTAGCAGCTAAGATGCAAAAAATTACTCATTAAGAAAATATTGGTAACTATATAGTAGGCTCTAATTAGTACTTAATTCCATTGCAAAAACGCCGTCGTAGCATTGTCGATATTAATTCATTGAAGTGGGACTAAACAGAAACTTGGAATTAAATTTCTCTTGAAAACTATTCTTCTGGTTACCAAGTGTAAAACTTTCTGTTGAACATTCAGGCAAACATATCGAAATCTACGATGGTTTTTCGAGTTTGTGCAAGACTTTGGACGAACATGAAGGGCGAATAAAAGAAGTTATATCTTCCATCTCACAAGAGTTCCTGGGGAATTGGTGACAAATTGGCGTAAAAAAAACAAACAAACAAAAAACAAAAAAAAAACTGATCATAAAAAAACTGGCATTTAACTCGAGTATATCAGTCACTTATGTGCCATATATGATTAGGCGACCATGTTTCTTTCGATACATGACTGACGAGGCAGATTTTTTCCTGCAGTAGGTCCCTATTTCTTTCTACGTTGGACCAGTTGCCATCTAAAGCTATAGAACTCGGTCTGTCGTGCTATTTACCCATAGCTGGGGGGAGAAGAAGAGGATTCATACGTTTTCCAAGGACATTATCACGTAAGTGAATATAATGGATTCGACTGGAATTCGAACTCGGCTCTCCGATTCCTCAGCCGCTATCCATCACCCCACTCGGGTATATAGTATACTTATGATAATAATAAAAAAAAAATTAAATACAGGGTGCCTATTAAAAAGGCGGCAAATTTATTATCATTGTTTTATCTTTCAGAAATAATTGACCTTGAATAACCTTCAATAAAATTCTTGAATATTCATGACCTTGAATAAAGCTACTTCCGCTTGGTTACCACGCGTACACATTTGTGTTGAACATTCAGGCAGACACTTCGAAACCTATGATGATTTTTCCGGTGTGTGCATGAATCATGATAGATAAATTTATTTAATGAAAATCACCGCTTTTTTCCTGGGCACCCTGTAGAAAAACACAAATTTTAAAGAATTAAATTTTATTTAGAACCTATTTTTGTTATGGATAATCATCTTAAATTTATGTAAAAAAAATGATAGCATTTTTAAAATACATTTCGCAATGTAACAACAGAATAGAAGAAAAATGTCTTAGGAAAAAAAGTTTGTTAAAAATGAAACAATTATTAAAATAAACTTTCTTGGCAGAGAATCTGTAACATTTGTCAGGAGAAAGACCAGAAAAAAAATTTGATTAATAAATTAATTTTAAACGAAGTAAAATGTATTCTACATTTCGTAGAAACAGAAATACAGTTTAAGCAAAATTAGATCAAGTTGCTCATTAGTGTATTTGCCTTTATGAATCAAAATGTCATTTTGCAATGGAAACATAAAATAAGAGAGAAAATTAGAAGGAAATAAAATAAATGAATCTTATACTTCAATTAAATAAACTAAAATTATTCCATGTGTAAAAAGCAGACCTCTCTAAAGTCAACTGCAGCAGCGAACAACTGCAAAATGAAACCGAAACTAAAAGCCTTTGCTGCTAGTAGTATGAAGAGATGTGAGGTAGGCCTCAAGATCTGAGAGAGAGATGCACTATGGAATGGCTTTTAATAACGAACACCATGTTCTTTACATATTTCTTTTCTATCTCCTGTTTTACTTTTATATTTGCATTTTCTTTTTTGTACTTCCATTTCCCATTATTTTTTTTTTGATTTTCTTCATTTTTATATTTTTCTTCAGTTTATTGCTTTTTTACCATTTTCTTCTGTAGAATAACAATACAATAAACGACACTTACCGGCGTAAGAGTTCCAGCTAGCGTCCAGCTGGCAGACAAAAAAATAAAGCAGGTTGTAACTTAATACAAACCCTGCAAACTAACTGAGAAATTAAACTGGTATTTATATAGAAATAAGGCCCAGGTACCAGCAGCCAATCACAGCCCAAGCAATGGACTATCTTACTTTAGCATAATGAGATGCTCCATTGCACCATAAATAACTCTTCCTCAATGTTGAATCATTATTCACAAGAAGCTCAGCTTGCTCCACAACTGAGTGTTTATCTTGACTACGTGATTGTTCTTCTTCTTCTACATTTTATCTTTACTTACTTTCTTATTTTTCACTTAACCTCTAACTTTTTCTTTTCCTAATTTATTTTGAAATAATCTATTCTTTCATCTCCCACCTTTCTTTACTCGCATCTCCCTCTATCGTTTAATTTATCTCCCAGCTTCCTTTTCTTTCATCTCTTCCCTTTCATTTCTTTCATTTCCCTCCTTTCCTTTCTTTCATCTATTTCCTTTCCTTTTCTTTCATCTCCTTCCATTCCTGTCTTTCATCTCCGTCCATACCATTTTTTCATCCCCTCCTTGCTTACTTTCAAATTCCTCCTTTCCTTTCTTTGATCTGCTTCCTTACTTTTCTTTCATCTCCCTCCTTTCCTTTTCCTTCATCTTCCTCCTTTCCTTTTTTCATCTATCTCCTTTGCTTTCTATCATCTTCCTCCTTTCCTTTCTTTCATCACCCTCCTTACCTTTCTTTCATCTCCCTCCTTTCCTTTTCTTACATCTCCTTACTTTCTTTTCTTTCATCTCCCTCCTTTCCTTTTGTATCATCTTCCTCCTTTGCTTTCTATCATCTTCCTCCTTTTCTTTCATCTCCCTCCTTCCCTTTCTTTCATCTCCTTCCTTTCTTTTCTTTCATCTCCATCCTTTCATTTCTTTCATCTCCCTCTTTCTTTTTTTTCATCTCTCACCTTCCCTTTCTTTCATCTTCCTCCATTCCTTTTCTTTAATCTCCTTCGTTTCCTTTCTTTCATCTCCCTCTTTCCTTTTCTTTCATCTTCCTCCTTTCCTTTCTTTCATCTTCCTCCTTTCCTTTCTTTTATCTACGTCCATTCCTTTTCTTTCATCTCCCTTCTTTCCTTTCTTTCATTTCCCTCTTTCATTTTTTTCATCTTCCTCCATACATTTTCTTTCATCTCCCTCCTTTCCTTTCCTTTCATCTCACTCCTTTCCTTTTTTAATCTTCCTCCTTTCCATTCTATCATCTTCGTTCTTTTCTTTCTTTCATCTCCCTCCATTCCTTTCTTTTATCTCCCTCCAGTCCTTTTCTTTCATCTCCCTCCTTTCCTTTTCTTTCATCTCCTTCCTTTCTTTTCTTTCATCTCCCTCCATTCCTTTTCTTTCATCTCCCTTCTTTCCTTTTCTTTCATCACTCTCCTTTCCTTTCTTTCATCTCCCCCCTTTCCTATCCTTCATCAACCTCCTTTCCTTTTCTTTCATCCCCTCCCTTTCCTTTCTTTCACCTTCCTCCTTTCCTTTTCTTTCATCTCCTTACTTTTTTTCTTTCATCTCCCTCCTTTCCTTTCTTTCATATCCCTCCTTTCCTTTTCTGTCATCTCCCTCCTTTCCTTTCTTTCATCTCCTTTCTTTCCTTTTCTTTCATCTCCTTCCTTTCTTTTCGTTCATCTCCCTACTTTCCTTTTCTTTCATCTCCTTCCTTTCCTGTCTTTCATCTCCTTACTTTCTTTTCTTTCATCTCCCTCCTTTTCTTTCTTTCATCTCCCTCCTTTTCTTTCTTTCATCTTCCTGCTTTCCTTTTTTTCATCTTCCTCCTTTCCTTTCTTTTATCTACGTCCATTCCTTTTCGTTCATCTCCCTACTTTCCTTTTCTTTCATCTCCTTCCTTTCCTGTCTTTCATCTTACTTTCTTTTTTCTTTCATCTCCTTCCTTTCTTTCTTTCATCTCCCTCCTTTTCTTTTTTCATCTTCCTGCGCAGATCTTTCATCTTCCTCCTTTCCTTTCTTTTTATCTACGTCCATTCCTTTATTTTCATCTCCCTTCTTTTCCTTTCTTTCATCTCCTTCCTTTCCTGTCTTTCATCTCCTTACTTTCTTTTCTTTCATCTCCCTCCCTTTCTTTTCTTTCATCTCCCTCTTTCCCTTTCTTTCATCTCCCACCTTCCTTTCTTTTCATCTTCCTTCCTTTCCTTTAATTTATCTCCCTCATTTCTTCTCTTTTCTTTCATTTCATCTTCCCTTTTCATCTTTCATTTCTTTTCTTTCATCTCCCTTTCTTTTTCTTTCATCTCCTTTTCTTTCATCTCCTCCTTTCCTTTCATCTTTCCTTTTCTTTCTTTCATCTCCTTTTTTCTTTCTTTCATCTCCTTTCATTTCATTTTTTTCATCTCCTTTTTTCCTTTCTTTCATCTCCCCTTCCTTTCTTTCATCTTCCTCCTTTCCTTTTCTTTCATCTCCCTTCTTTCCTTTTCTTTCATCTCTCTCCTTTCCTTTTCTTTCATCTCCCCCTTTCCTTTCTTTCATCTTCCTCCTTTCCTTTTTTTTCATATCCTTCCTTTCTTTTCGTTCATCTCTTTTCTTTATTTTCTTTCATTCATCGTTCCCTAGTGTCCTCCCATTAAATAAATTTTGACAACAAAGTAAAAAGACACCTATCTTTTTTTTTGCTTTCACCGCGACCTTTGCAGATTATATCTCAACTTTTACTTTGATTTTTCGTTTTACCCTTAAATCTTTTTTATCCGTTATTTCTGCGATGTACACAGCTTATCCCATGGCAAAGAACACGTTAATACGCATAACCTTCATAAAAGAAAGTAAGCAAGAAAGAAAGAAAGAATAAACAAGCAATGAAAGGAAATATGAAAGAAGAAAGCAATGAGAGAAAAGAAAGACAAAAAGAAAAGTGAGAAAAGGTGTAATAAATTAAAAAAGATAAAAAAATAAAGAAAATAAGCAGAAAAGGCCAGAAAGAAAGAAAGAAAGAAAAATAAGAAAAAAAGGAATGAAGAAAGAAAGAAAGAAAGAAAAAAAGGAAATAGCAGAAATAAATAAATGAAAGTACAATTAATGAAAGAAAATATATAAAAAGACAAAAGAAAGAAAAAATATAAAAAGATTTTCCTAAAGGAAAGAAAGAAAGCGGAATGAAAAAAATGAAGAATAAATTAAAACAAGAAAATAAAAACTAGAAGTAAATCATGTCTGGCGCAAGGTCTGTTTTGAGCAGTTGTAAATAAAGAGATGATAGATATTGACAACATGGCGGTGTTTTCTTCTCTTTTTAATATTATTAGAATTGAAAAAATACAGGAATAAATTAAAACAAGAGAATAAAAACGGAGGAAAGAATAGGAAGCAAAACATGGACAAATGATGATGAAAAGTGTGTGAATAAAAAGGAAGAAGCGAAATAGGTATTAAACCAAAAAAAAACAAGGAAGGAAGGAATCATCTCCTTCCTCCTTTCCTTATATAAAAGGAACGAATCAAATACTTTTCTTTAGGTATTAAGAAAGAAAGAAAGAAAGAAAGAACTTTCTTTCATCTCCCTCCTTTCCTTTTTTCAAAGAAAGAATGGGTATTGGGAGGTGAAAGAAAGAAAAGAAAAGAAAGAAAGAAAGAAAAGAAAGAAAGAAAGAATGTATTGGGAAAAGAAAAGAAAGAAAAAAAAAAAGAAAGAAAGAAAGAAAGAAAGAAAAGAATGGGTATTGGGAGGTGAAAGAAAAAGAATTTCTTGGGAAAAGAAAGAAAGAAAGAAAGAAAAAAAGAAAGAAAGAAAGAATGGGTATTGGGAGGTTAAAGAAAGAAAAAGAAATTGGGAGGTTAAAGAAAGAAAGAAAGAAAGAAAGAAAGAAAGAATGGGTATTGAAGGTGAAAGAAAAAAAGAAAGAAAGAAAGAAAGAAAGAAAGAAAGAAAGAAAGAAAGGGTATGGGAGGAGAAAGAAAAGAAAAAGAAATTTAAAAAACAAAAGAAAAGAAAATGTATATAAAAATGAAAGAAGAATAAGGAAGAAATAGTTATTAAACAAGAAAGGAAGGAAAGAAGGAAGAAAGAAAGAAAGGAAGGAATGAAGGAAGGAAAGAAGCAAAGAAGGAAAAGCGTATATAAAAATGAATTAAATGGTAAGAAATAGGTATTAAGAAAGAAAGAAAGAAAGAAAGAAAGGGATTTTTTTTTAGAAAAGAAAGAAGAGAAAGAATAAAGACAAACGGAACGGAGAGTGCGCTTGAAGAAAGAAAGAAAGAAAGAAAGAAAGAAAGAAAGAAGGGAAGGGGACGTTTTAGAGAGGAAGGAAGAAGAGAAAGAATAAAGACAAACGGATCAGAAAAGCGTTTGAAGAAGAAGGAGAAGAAGATAGAAGGAAAGAAAGAAAGAAACTTGGAATAAGAAAAGAAAAAAGAAAGACAGAAAGAAAGAAAAAAAGAAAGAAGCTTGGAATAAGAAAGAAAGAACGAGAAGTACGAAAAAGAGAATAATGAATGAATGAAAGAAAAATAAGAAAAAGAAAATAACAGAAAGAGAAGAAAGGAAAATGAATGAAAAAAAAAGAAAGAAAGAGAGAAAGAAAATAAGGACAGAAAGTATAAACAATAAAATATAAAGACAAACTAAATAAGAAAATGTGCAAAAAGAAAAAGAATCAATAAAAAATGGAAAGGAAAGAAAAAAAGAAATAAAATTAACATGGAAATAAAGAAAATAAATAAAGAAAGAAAGAAAGGCAGGAATGGTATAGGCATATAAATAAAGAAAGAAAGAAAGGCAAAAATAGTATAGCCATATAAAGAAAGAAAGAAAGAAAGAAAGAAAGAAAGAAAGAAGGAAAGGGAGAAATACTATAGTCATATAAATAAAGAAAGAAAGAAAGGCAAAAATAGTATAGCCATATAAAGAAAGAAAGAAAGAAAGAAAGGCAGAAATACTATAGTCATATAAAGAAAGAAAGAAAGGCAGAAATACTATAGTCATATAAAGAAAGAAAGAAAGAAAGGCAGAAATACTATAGTCATATAAAGAAAGAAAGGCAAAATAGTATAGCTATATATAAAGAAAGAAAACGTTAAAAAAATAGTATAGCCATATAAAGAAAGAAAGAAAGAAAGGCAGAAATACTATAGTCATATAAAGAAAGAAAGAAAGAAAAAAAAGAAAGGCAGAAATATTTATAGTCATATAAAGAAAGAAAGGCAAAAATAGTATAGCCATATAAAGAAAGAAAGAAAGAAAGGCAGAAATACTATAGTCATATAAAGAAAGAAAGAAAGAAAGAAAGGCAGAAATACTATAGTCATATAAAGAAAGAAAGAAAGAAAGAAAGAAAGGCAGAAATACTATAGTCATATAAAGAAAGAAAGGCAAAAATAGTATAGCCATATAAAGAAAGAAAGAAAGGCAAAAATAGTATAGCCATATAAAGAAAGAAAGAAAGAAAGGCAGAAATACTATAGCCATATAAAGAAAGAAAGGCAAAAATAGTATAGCCATATAAAGAAAGAAAGAAAGAAAGGCAAAAATAGTATAGCCATATAAAGAAAGAAAGAAAGAAAGAAAGAAAGGCAGAAATACTATAGTCATATAAAGAAAGAAAGAAAGAAAGAAAGGCAGAAATACTATAGTCATATAAAGAAAGAAAGAAAGAAAGGCAGAAATACTATAGTCATATAAAGAAAGAAAGAAAGAAAGAAAGAAAGAAAGAAAGAAATACTATAGTCATATAAAGAAAGAAAGAAAGAAAGAAAGAAAGAAAGAAAGAAAGAAAAGGCAGAAATGGTATAGTCATATAAATAAATAAATAAATGAATAAAAAAAGAAAAAAGAAAAGAAAGAAAGGCAGAAATACTATAGTCATATAAAAGAAAGAAAGAAAGAAAGAAAAGCAGAAATACTATAGTCATATAAAGAAAGAAAGGCAAAAATAGTATAGCCATATAAAGAAAGAAAGAAAGAAAGAAAGGCAGAAATACTATAGTCATATAAAGAAAGAAAGAAAGAAAGAAAGGCAGAAATACTATAGTCATATAAAGAAAGAAAGAAAGAAAGAAAGGCAGAAATACTATAGTCATATAAAGAAAGAAAGAAAGAAAGGCAGAAATACTATAGTCATATAAAGAAAGAAAGGCAAAAATAGTATAGCCATATAAAGAAAGAAAGAAAGAAAGGCAGAAATACTATAGTCATATAAAGAAAGAAAGAAAGAAAGAAAGAAAGAAAGGCAGAAATACTATAGTCATATAAAGAAAGAAAGAAAGGCAGAAATACTATAGTCATATAAAGAAAGAAAGGCAAAAAATAGTATAGCCATATAAAGAAAGAAAGAAAGAAAGGCAAAAATAGTATAGCCATATAAAGAAAGAAAGAAAGGCAGAAATACTATAGTCATATAAAGAAAGAAAGAAAGAAAGGCAGAAATACTATAGTCATATAAAGAAAGAAAGAAAGAAAGGCAGAAATACTATAGTCAAATAAAGAAAGAAAGGCAAAAATAGTATAGCCATATAAAGAAAGAAAGAAAGAAAGGCAGAAATACTATAGTCATATAAAGAAAGAAAGAAAGAAAGAAAGGCAGAAATACCATAGTCATATAAGAAAGAAAGAAAGAAAGAAAGAAAGGCAGAATACTATAGTCATATAAAGAAAGAAAGAAAGAAAGAAAGAAAGAAAAAAAGAAAGAAAGGCAGAAATACTATAGTCATATAAAGAAAGAAAGAAAGAAAGGCAGAAATACTATAGTCATAAATAAAGAAAGAAAACAAAATAGTATAGCCATATAAAGAAAGAAAAGAAAGAAAGGCAAAAATAGCCATATAAATATAAAGAAAAAGAAAGAAAGAAAGAAAGAAAGGCAGAAATACTATAGTCATATAAAGAAAGAAAGGCAAAAATAGTATAGCCATATAAAGAAAAGAAAGAAAAGAAAAGGCAAAATAGTATAAAATATAAAGAAAGAAAAAAAGAAAGAAAGAAAGAAAGGCAGAAATACTATAGTCAGAATAAAGAAAGAAAAAAGAAAGAAAGGCAGAAATACTATAGTCATATAAAGAAAGAAAGGAAAAAAATAGTATAGCCATATAAAGAAAGAAAGAAAGGCAGAAATACTATAGTCATATAAAGAAAGAAAAGAAAGAAAGAAAGGCAGAAATACTGTAGTCATATAAAGAAAGAAAGAAAGAAAGAAAGGCAGAAATATAGTTATAGTCATATAAAGAAAGAAAGAAAGAAAGGCAGAAATACTATAGTCATATATAAAGAAAGAAAGAAAGAAAGAAAGAAAAGGCAGAAATGGTATAGTCATATAAATAAATAAATAAATGAATAAAAAAGAAAGAAAGAAAGAAAGAAAGGCAGAAATACTATAGTCATATAAAGAAAGAAAGAAAGAAAGAAAGGCAGAAATACTCTAGTCATATAAAGAAAGAAAAGGCAAAAAATAGTATAGCCATATAAAGAAAAGAAAGAAAGAAAGAAAGGCAGAAATACTATAGTCATATAAAGAAAGAAAGAAAGAAAGAAAGGCAGAAATACTATAGTCATATAAAGAAAAAGAAATAAAAAGAAAGAAAGAAAGGCAGAAATACTATAGTCATATAAAGAAAAAAAAAGAAAGAAAGAAAAGGCAGAAATACTATAGTCATATAAAGAAAGAAAGAAAGAAAAAGAAAGGCAGAAATACTATAGTCATATAAAGAAAAGGCAAAATAGTATGAATATATAAAGAAAGAAAGAAAGAAAGAAAGGCAGAAATACTATAGTCATATAAAGAAAGAAAGAAAGAAAGAAAGGCAGAAATACTATAGTCATATAAAAGAAAGAAAGGCAAAAATAGAATAGCCATATAAAGAAAGAAAGAAAGAAAGGCAGAAATACTATAGTCATATATAAAGAAAGAAAAAAGAAAGAAAAGAAAGGCAGAAAAATACTATAGTCATATAAAGAAAGAAAGAAAGAAAGGCAGAAATACTATATAGTCATATAAAGAAAGAAAAAAAAATAGTATAGCCAATAAAGAAAGAAAGAAAGAAAGGCAAAAAAATAGTATAGCCATATAAAGAAAGAAAAAAAGAAAGAAAGGCAGAAATACTATAGTCATATAAAGAAAGAAAGAAAGAAAAGAAAGAAAGGCATAAATACTATAGTCATATGAAGAAAGAAAGAAAGAAAGAAAGAAAAGGCAGAAATACTATAGTCATATAAAGAAAGAAAAAAAAAAGTATAAATATAAAGAAAGAAAGAAAGAAAGAAAGGCAGAAATACTATAGTCATATAAAGAAAGAAAGAAAGAAAGAAAGAAAGGCAGAAATACTATAGTCATATAAATAAATAAAGAAAGAAAGGCAGAAATACTATAGTCATATAAAGAAAGAAAGAAAGAAAGAAAGGCAGAAATACTATAGTCATATAAATAAATAAAGAAAGAAAGGCAGAAATACTATAGTCATATAAAGAAAGAAAGGAAAAAAAAGTATAATATAAAGAAAGAAAGAAAGAAAGGCAGAAATACTATAGTCATATATAAAGAAAAAAAAGAAAAAAAGAAAGGCAGAAATACTATAGTCATATAAAGAAAGAAAGAAAGAAAGAAAGAAAGGCAGAAATACTATAGTCATATAAAGAAAGAAAGAAAGAAAGAAAGAAAGAAAGGCAGAAATACTATAGTCATATAAAGAAAGAAAGAAAGAAAGAAAGGCAGAAATACTATAGTCATATAAATAAATAAATAAATGAATAAAAAGAAAGAAAGAAAGAAAGAAAGGCAGAAATAGTATAGTCATATAAAGAAAGAAAGAAAGAAAAGAAAGGCAGAAATACTATAGTCATATAAAGAAAGAAAGAAAGAAAGAAAGAAAGGCAGAAATACTATAGTCATATAAAGAAAGAAAGAAAGAAAGAAAGAAAGAAAACTATAAATATAAAGAAAGAAAGAAAGAAAGGCAGAAATACTATAGTCATATAAAGAAAAAGAAAGAAAAGAAAAATAGTATAGCCATATAAAGAAAGAAAGAAAGAAAGGCAGAAATACTATAGTCATATAAAAAAGAAAGAAAAGAAAGGCAGAAATACTATAGTCATAAATAAAGAAAGAAAGAAAAGAAAGGCAGAAATAGTATAGTCATATAAAGAAAAGAAAAAAGGCAAAAATAGTATATAACATATAAAGAAAGAAAGAAAGAAAGGAAGAAATACTATAGTCATATAAAGAAAGAAAGAAAGAAAGAAAGAAAGAAAGGCAGAAATACTATAGTCATATAAAGAAAGAAAGAAAGGAGAAATACTATAAATATAAAGAAAGAAAGGCAAAAATAAAAGCCATATAAAGAAAAAGAAAAAAGAAAGGCAAAAAATAGTATAGTCATATAAAGAAAAAGAAAGAAAAGAAAGGCAGAAATACTATAGTAATATAAAGAAAGAAAAGAAAGAAAGGCAGAAATACTATAGTCATATAAAGAAAGAAAGAAAGCAAAATAGGCAGTATTTCATATAAAAGAAAGAAAGAAAGAAAGAAAGGCAGAAATACTATAGTCATAGAAAAAGAAAGAAAGAAAAAAGAAAAAAAGAAAGAAAGAAAGGCAGAAATACTATAGTCATATAAAGAAAGAAAGAAAGAAAGAAAGGCAGAAATACTATAGTCATATAAAGAAAGAAAGAAAGAAAGGCAGAAATACTATAGTCATATAAAAAAAAAAAGGCAAAATAGTAGTATATATAAATAAAGAAAGAAAGAAAGAAAGGCAGAAATACTATAGTTATATAAAGAAAGAAAAAAAGAAAGAAAGAAAGAAAGGCAGAAATACTATAGTCATATAAAGAAAGAAAGAATGGCAGAAATACTATAGTCATATAAAGAAAGAAAGAAAGAAAGAAAGAAAGGCAGAAATAGTATAGTCATATAAAGAAAGAAAGGCAAAAATAGTATAGCCATATAAAGAAAGAAAGAAAGAAAGGCAGAAATACTATAGTTATATAAAGAAAGAAAGAAAGAAAGAAAGAAAGAAAGAAAGCCAGAAATACTATAGTCATATAAAGAAAGAAAGAAAGAAAGAAAGGCAGAAATGGTATAGTCATATAAATAAATAAATAAATGAATAAAAAAGAAAGAAAGAAAGAAAGAAAGAAAGGCAGAAATACTATAGTCATATAAAGAAAGAAAAGAAAGAAAGAAAGGCAGAAATACTATAGTCATATAAATAAAGAAAGAAACAAAAAAAAAGGCAGCCATATAAAGAAAGAAAGAAAGGCAAAATAGTATAGCCATATAAAGAAAGAAAGAAAGAAAGGCAGAAATACTATAGTCATATAAAGAAAGAAAGAAAGGCAGAAATACTATAGTCATATAAAAAGAAAGAAAGAAAGAAAGAAAAAAAAAGGCAGAAATACTATAATCATATAAAGAAAGAAAAGGCAAAAATAGTATAGCCATATAAAGAAAGAAAAAAGGCAGAAATACTATAGTCATATAAAGAAAGAAAGAAAGAAAGAAAGGCAGAAATACTATTGTCATATAAAGAAAGAAAGAAAGAAAGAAAGGCAGGAATACTATAGTCATATAAAGAAAAGAAAGAAAGAAAGGCAGAAATACTATAGTCATATAAAAGAAAGAAAGAAAGAAAGAAAGGCAGAAATGGTATAAATATAAATAAATAAAAAAGAAAAGAAATAAAACTAAAGGCAGAAAATACTATAGTCATATAAATAAATAAATAAATGAATAAAAAAAAAGAAAGAAAGAAAAAGAAATACTATAGTCATATAAAGAAAGAAAGAAAGAAAGAAAGGAAGAAATAAAAAGAAACTATAAAATATGAATAAAGAAAGAAAGAAAGAAAGAAAGGCAGAAATACTATAGTAATATAAAGAAAGAAAGAAAGGCAGAAAGAAAGGCAGGAATACTATAGTCATATAATTAAAGAAAGAAAGAAAGGCAGAAATACTATAGTCATATAAAGAAAGAAAGAAAGGCAGAAAGAAAGGCAGGAATACTATAGTCATATAATTAAAGAAAGAAAGAAAGGCAGAAATACTATAGTCATATAAATAAATAAGAACAAAAGAAAAATAAGAGAAAGAAAGAAAGAACCAAAGAAAAATAAGAAAAAACAGAACGAATCTAAAGAAATAAAAATTTAAGAAACGAAGAGAATGAGTAAAGATAGAAAGAAAAATAAAATAAAATAAAGACAAAATTAAATTAAATGATGTAAAATATAGAAAAAAAAGAAATCAGCCAGGAAAAAAAGGAAGGAAGAAAAGAAAAAAAGAAAGTGACAATGGAAAAAAAGAAAGAAAGAAAATTAGTAAAGAAAGAAGGAAACTAAAGACAGGAAGAAAAGACGGAAAAGGCAAAGTAATATATAAAAAAGAGAAAATTAAACAAAGAAAATAAGAAAGAATAGAAAGAAAGAAAACAAGAACAAAAAAAGAAAAAGTTAATAAAGAAAGAAATATGATAGAAACAAAAAAAAAGAGACAATAAAAAATAAATTTAGAAAAAAGGGAAAGAAAGAAAAAAAGAATAATCATAGAAATGAAAATAAAGAAAGAAAGGGGAAATAAATATAGGAAATAAGAAAGACAAAAAGAAAAGAGAAGAAAGAAATTAGTAAAGGAAGAAAACGAAAGAAAGCTAGTAAAGAAAGAAAGAAAATAAAGTTCGAAAGAAAAGTCAAAGTAATATGAGAAAAGAAAGCGAGGAATTTAACAGAAAATAAACAAAGAAAGCAGGGAAAGAGACAAAAATAAGAAAGAAAGAAAAGAACAGAAAGAATAAAAAAGAAAGAAAAAATTTATAAAAGTAAAAGCAAAAAAAGAAAGAAGAAAATAAGAAAGGAAGAAAAAACGGATATAAAGAAAAGAAAATTGAAGAAAGAAAAGCAGAAAAGAAAGAAAAATTAACAAAAGAAGAAGAAAGAAAGACAAATTATAAAAAACGAAGAAATAAAAAGAACAGATAGAAAGTATAGGGAGAAACATTAAAGAAAGAAAGAAGGAAAGAAAAAAGAAAGAAAAAAAAAGAAAAGCTTGGCATAAGAAAGAAAGAAAGAAAGAAAGAAAGAAAGAAAGTACGGAAAAGAGAATAATAAAAAAAAGAAAGAAATGAAAACAAAGCAAAAAAGGGGAAAATATAAAAAATAATAAAAGACAAAAAGAAAGAAAAGAGAAAAATAAAAAAAGAGAAAATGAAGACATAAAAAAGAAAGAAAGAATAAAAAAAAGGAAAGAAAGAAAGGTAAAAGACATGAAGATAACAAAAACAGAGTGGCGGAAAAATAAAGAAAGAGCCATTAACAGCAGTATGAATCGAACGTCCCAGTTTTGTCATTGACGCAACTCGCGCTTCCAACATGGACGCTATTCAAGTGCTTTGTATCAACATTCATTACCTGAAGTCACCTCTACCTCAACTAAAGCTGACATCGAAGCTATTCAAATCAGCTAACGTGGTATGGGATCCTACGGGATGTATACCTGCCAGGTCGACAAGGTAGCCCCGGTCCCGAGAGTCCATAGATAAACCCTGACTCACCGTCCATGCCCAGAAGTTCGCCAGGCAGGGCCGTGTCTCAGGAGATTGAAGATAAACCCTAACACCACGGACTTGGTAAGATCTTTGCCCGGCAGCCTTCGTAGCTACCACGTTCCCGAGAGGGCTCAGATAACCCCAAACTCTAAGAATTCTGTTCGTAATGCATTATATCACTTGACACTTGCTGCAAACGACTTAAAATTAAGATATGGGTAAGCATCCCTAACCCCTTCCAACCGACTCACATTGAACCAGTAATCAGGCCTCAGCCAAACTGATTCTTGAAACAATTTGATAGATGTCTGCTCGGCTTTCTTGGTCTCAGAATCCCTGGCTGTCTGAAGTATTCGATACTGTTTGGTTTCTGAGATGGTGGAGGCGAGGCAAAATGGGTTAGAATTGTTCATTTTAAATATATTTACAAATCGATATTACAATGAGCCGATTCTACCAACCTACCTGCACAAACAAAATGATTTATCTTGAAAAATAAACTAATTTCCAGTTCACTTTACACACTTAATAATAATAGTGGGAGGTTTATTTTTGCACTCACCCTGGTAACAATGGTCCGCTTGTTTGTTTCGATAAGGGAAAAGGTTTATTTTGTTTTACGGCATATCAACCTCAATAGGTTATTTAATGCCGACAATATTTTTATTGCTTGTAAAATTTTTTATCTATCTATCTATCTATCTATCTATCTATATATATATATATATATATATATATATATATATATATTTCAGTATATATTGATTTGATTTGGTTTGTTTTACAGCAAATCAACCTCAATGGCTTATTTATTGCCGACAAGATTTTTATTTTTATTTTTTTATCTATCTATCTATCTATCTATTTTATCTATCTATCTATCTATCCTTCTTCTATCTATCTATCTATTATTATCTATCTAAATTCTTTCTATTATCTATCATATCTATTATCTATCTATCTATCTATCTATCTAACTATTTCAGTATATATATTGATTTGGTTAGGTTTGTTTTACGGCAAATCAACCTCAATGGCTTATTTTTGCCGACAAGATTTTTATTGTTGGTAATATTTTTTTATCTATCTATCTATCTATCTATCTATCTATCTATCTATTTCAGTATATATTGATTTGGTTTGTTTTGTTTTACAGCATATCAACCTCAATGGCTTATTTAATGCCGACAAGATTTTTATTTCTGGTAATATTTTTTTTCTAAAAATGTATTGCTGGTAATATTTTTTCCAAAAATGTATTGCTGGTATTAAAACCTATGTTTACACGTTTTGACGAGTTTGGGGGTTAATTATTTGCCCATATCTGAGACCCTAACAGGTGCTACCACCCCGGGTCAGGGTGGACCTGGGAAGACCAGTAATTAAGAGGTGGTTCCATGCTCTTCAAAAACTCTTGACCAGAGGCCTTGCTGTCCGCTGTAGTTTATCGTCTTACCCAGGACGAGGATGTAGTTTACTGTCTTACCCAGGACGCGGATGTAGTTTATCGTCTTACTCAGGATGCGGATGTAGTTTACACAGGAGCCGGATGTAGTTTATCGTCATCCCCAAGACGCAAAGGAAAAGGAAGCATAAGCACTGAAAGGAGAAAAATCCAAGAAAAATTATAATGAAAACCGTGAAAAATGATGCATTAATTTTGTAATATATACATTATAAGTCAATATTCTGGGACCACTCCCTGGATTTAATTATTAGTAAGTTTCATACAATTTGGTTCAAATTAATAACACGGCTGAAGCTAACTTCCAGGAAAATATCTTATTGCGCCTTCTCTGGGTAATGTTCTCAGCTGACAAGATGTAGAAAGACAACAGTGAATCCATTGCTAGGTCAGCTGCTAAGAAAGTCGGTTCACTGTTTCGTGGTAGGCAATTTTTCTCTCCAGAAACTATCTTATGCATCTATAAGTCTACCATTCGTCCATGCTGAGAATACTGCTGCTACTTATGGTCCAGAGCTTCAACTATTTACCTTGAGCTCCCTGATAAGATCCCAAGAAGAATCAGCAATATTATTAGTCCTGATCTGGCCGCTCGGTTGCCTCTCTATGTCTTTTCTCTAAATATTTTCATGGTAATTATTCGGATGAGCTCTTCGCTAAGGATTGTAAATACTCACTGAGGCTATTTTTTTAAATTGTTGTTTTATTCTCCGACCTCCACAGACAATGAATTGTACATATGGGCGACTAGTTAGGATTTTCATAGAGACAATGAGGTATTATGGTGAATGTAGTAAGACAGGTAAGCAAGAATGTGTTGTTTTGGTGAAAAGAATGTTGTTAGATGTATGGTTCAGTGATTGTGGCTAGCTAAGTCTAAATTTAAGGCAGAAGAAGACCGTCCTTTTCCCCCATTTCCCATTTTTGGCTTTGTGCTACATTTTCTGTATCTTGAACAGATTAAGTAATGGCACCTAGATTTTAATTTAATTAATTAATATATACATATACATGCATATATGCATGTCTATATCGTCTATGATATATGAACAAATATAGTCTTAAGATGTGCTATATTTATGGGATAAAGTGCTCAATATCAGAGATAGAGCGTGGCCTGACGATTGCATCTATCATGAAACAGACTGTCGCCTCTAAGTCTTGACTTCTATGTTCCCTTTTATAGTCTATGATATATATATATATATATATGTGTGTGTGTGTGTGTGTAAGTAGCAATACACACACACATGCGCATACACACACACACATATATATATGTGTGTCTGTGTAAGTAGCTACACACACACACACACACACACACACACACACACACACATATATATATATATATATATATATATATATATGCACACACACACACACTTCTCTCTCTATATATTCATTGATGCACATTTCTTATTTTATTATTATTATTATTATTATTAGTAGTAGTAGTAGTATTAGTAGCATCTTATTATTAGTAGTATATTATTATTATCAGTAGTAGTAGTAGCATCTTATTATTCTTAGTATATTATTATTATTATTATTAGTAGTAGTAGTAGTAGTATTAGTAGCATCTTATTATTAGTAGTATTATTATTATCAGTAGTAGTAGTAGTAGCATCTTATTATTCTTAGTATATTATTATTATTATTATTATTATTAGTAGTAGTAGTAGTATTAGTAGCATCTTATTATTAGTAGTATATTATTATTATCAGTAGTAGTAGTAGTAGCATCTTATTATTATTAGTATATTATTATTATTATCAGTAGTAGTAGTAGTAGCATCTTATTATTAGTAGTAGTATATTATTATTATCAGTAGTAGTAGTAGTAGCATATTATTATTATTATTATTAGTATTATTATTATTATTATTATTAGTAGTATAATATTATTATTATTATTATTCACTGTCTTTTTACTGCTGCTTACTTTCTCTAGCTCTTGTTATTCATGGCGTAACGTTTGCATTTAGCACACACACACACACACACACACACACACACACACACACACACATATATATATATATATATATATATATATATATATATATATATATATATATATATATATATATATATGTATACACACTACGAAATAGAAGCTAACTCCAACAATCATTTTTAATATATTTTATTGTTATTCCTGATTTATATAAACACAAATATTTAAGTAAATGTTCTGTTACTGTTTACAGGCTGGTAAATGTTGTTAATAATGTTTATTATAAACAGAGCATTTACTTAAATATTTCTATGTATATAAATGACGTATGACAGTAATATATATATATATATATATATATATATATATATATATATATATATATATATATATATGAACCCTTTCTTGTGTCTGGTAATCGGGTTTTATGAGGTAATTTAATTTCCTACCGCTCTTAACCTAAAACACTGCAACGCATTTTCCTTACAGTTTTGTCTTTCATTGTGACCTGAAGAAGCCAAACCGAACGCACGTTGCCGAAACGCTATGTCATTTTAAATAAAATAAAATTCTTCAGCTTTTTACTATCTGATCAGACTGGCATTTATTAAGTTGAAATTGTGGTCAGATTCGTTTCAAGTGAACCACCAGCGTGTTTAAAATGTTGCCAATTACCATAAGCTTTTCCTCTTCATCTCATCATCTTTTCAAATACATCCTGCAAAGACACAGTGTTGACCTCGGTCTCCACTTTTATAGTTACACTAGCAGCATGGCCCGGCGTTGCCCGTGCTTGATTCAAAAATCGTACGACTCATACAGCAATCGCTATCACTTGACTTAAAATACTAAACATTAAATCTATTACGAAAAAAGAACTAAACAAAATGAACACAAAACGATCAACTTTAAAAAAAGGACTCGTAACTGGAAAAACCGAATGAAAAAAGAATGTTAACAACAAATACTTTTTCACACCCAATCCAGTTCTGCGGAATCAGAATCAACGTTGAGTTTAAGCAAGCGAATGAGCCAATTGGAGTAAAGTGCCATGCAGATTTAAATTTTTCCCACTTGTGACGAATGCAGCTATCGATTTTTTTTGCATGCTATCATGCTAGTTAACATTCGTGCCAGTCAGCTGTTGGCTCTCACGCTGGCCAATAGAATCTTCCTGCGTATTCGTGGCAGCCAGCTATAGGCTCTCACTCTGGTCAGTAGAAAATGGCCGCAAACTACATGAAAACTGCCGCAGAAGCATGAAAAAATCGATCATTTCCACTATCGATGGGAGTTGGGAAATGCAAAGTCGGTCTTGGCGTTCCCGCTAACTTGGAGCATGTGCATGTAAATTTTGGTGCAAATCCGTCGAAAATTGCGGCCGTGCATTCGTTACACACACACACATATCCTGCCTTTTATAGATAGAGATTATTATTCGATAAAATTTCCATTTACTGCAGGATGTTATTATTATTATCATTATTATTGCATAATATGGAGACCTAAAGAAAAGTTTTAAAAACAAATTATGAGATATGAGATGTATATTTCCACGTGACCACCCAAAAATTTATCATACTATCAT